GTCAAAAGGGTTACAGTTCAGTCAGATGGCTGATAATGCACAATGAGTAAGGGAAAATAAGAGTCAGATTCTCAGGTAGTGTAGTCAACAGCGCTATACTGATTTATACCAGCTAAGGCTCTGGCTCTAAATGTTTAAACAATCCAGTTGTGGTTCCCAATAATGAGTCCCACTGAAAATTGTACATTTACTCTACAAAGTGGTAACTTCCATTACCAGAAGCAAATACTTCTGTATGATAACAGTATACATTTTTGATGGCATCAACTAAAGGAAGAATCTGGCCTGATTTTGCTCTCATTAAAATAATTGAATATGCATTATACTTTATTTTCTATTTTTAAGTCTATCATTTTAAATCTATGAAATTATAATTAATTACATGAGGGCAAATCCAAAGACTGTTACCAACACATGGATGTCCTTGGGACAGTCCTCAGTAGGTCTGGGGATCTCTGCTTGGGAAAGGGTTGCAAGGGAAGGGCTGGGGGGAGACCGAACATCATGTCTTCTAACCCTTTATGACATCATCTCTTCACAACTGATCCCCCTTAAAGGGGAATTCCAGGGGCAGGTTACTGTCAGAGCTATAATGGCAGGGGCCAGGCAAAACAAATAGAGCTGGCACTCCTGGATAGATGCCACTAGCTTCCTGTGCATCTTTGCAGGGTTCCCCTAGGACTGGCCGCCTGGGCTTCTTGTACGCAGAATCAAACCCCACTCTCCTAACAGTGGAAGTGAGAGAGGGAATAATATGAAGCAAATAATGTAGAAAAAACAGAGGAGAAGCTGTTGAAATATGACAACATCAAAAACAAAATCAATGTTTTAAATAAATTAAGTAGATTAGGCATGACTAGTTTTCTAAATGAACCAAGGACGTGAGATGAGAAAACACACATTTTACCTCATATGTACCATAATAGCATAAAATTATGTTATGCAACAGTTTTGGTGATTTATACGGTTTTAAGATGACCACATATACCCATGGGACAGATCTTCAGTTGGGGTTGATTGGTGTAGCTTTCTTGACTTCAGTGGAGTTATGCAAATTTACAGTGGACGAGTGCCTAGCCTAGTGGATAGAGCAGTGAACTTGGACGCAGGATATCTGAAAGCCCAGTGAAGTTAGGTGGCTGACTTCAACGGCTTTGGATCAGGACCGATAGCTGGATGATTACTGTGCATATTCGTTTGATGTGGTTAACATGGTGTTGCTTGTGTTTTCACCTCTGTGCTGTTTCTGTAACTTTTTTACTAAATGATTTTACTTGTGTGAATTTTCAAGAAAATAGGTTTTAGGCAAATAATGGAAAAACGTAATCACTAGAATTTGCATGGGAATTCAGATTTTGAGAGGCACAAGCCTATTTTCAAGGAACAGAAACATGCCATGTGACTTTTGTCCAAGTAAGGGCTAGACATTTTTGCAAAAATTAATTTAAAAAGAAAGTCATGATCTGTCTGAACAAATTAATGAACAGAAAAAGCCACCAAAATCAAATAAGCTAGGAAGTATTTGCAAACTCTGCTCATCACTTGTTTTCATGCTCAACTGCTTTAGCACAGGGAATGACTGCACCACAACTAAGGTGGGGCAGAGTTTGTCTGGGGCTTACCTGGGAAGGAGAGCTCCACTTTGGGGGGAGGGAGGAAAAGAGGAGGAAGGAGGTCAGAAACTGCTGTAAAAAAGTTCAGTCAGCTTTGCAGCAATGACTCCCCCACCCAGGAATGTGAGGTCTGAAGGGCATAAAGGTACAAAACCTGGGTGGGGCAAGTCTCTTTGTTCCACACTGCGAGGAAGCCAGCACCCACCCTCCTTCCCCAAGTGGAGGCAAATGGCAGGCTGGGTTAGGACCTGCTGCGGGCGTTACGCTTGTCCCTCCTTTTAAAGGGGGGCTGGAAGGATTTTTTCCTGCACCACCAGAATTGGCTTCAGTGGAGTGAGTATTTTTCGCCTTCCCCACAGCGGTTGTGAGGGAGGACCTTTTCTGGTGAGAAGAAAAGATTGTAGGCCATATGTCTCAATGTATTTTGTAAGGTTTGGTGGATATCCAGTGCAGGTACTCCATTGGGAAGGCAGCCAGTGACCAGATAAATGGCCTGGTAAAGGACTTAAACAAAAAAAAAGTACTGGATAAAGGAACAAAATGGGGGAGGGGGTTGGGGACTTCTCTGATTGGTACGTCAGGGAGCCCTCCCTGCCCCCTCCCCCCCCACTTCTCATAGCCCATCTTAACCCTCTTACGAGGGTGGTGGGTGGTAAGGTCCAAGCCATGGGTCGGCTGGGGGACCTGAATGGAAACAAAGGGGGGCCGATGAAAGCCCTGGAGAATTGATTTGAATAAGCCTAGATTTGCCTGCACTGTACACGTTATCTCCAGGTAGTCTCAGACATCTATATAATAAAGTTGCAACCTGATTAAAATCCATAACAAGTGTCTCCTGTCCTTCTTGCAGTGTACCCAGACAATGGCTACCTACCATTCTCTGCCTCTAAATATCTGCTGATAATTGAACTTTAAAATGAAGTACAGTGCTGTACACAAAGCAGTAATGACAAACAGAGAGAGGGTCCTTCTGTAAAGTGGTGAATTCAAAGGGATCCTTCTGTAAAGTGGTGAATTCAAAGGGATTTGAGGGCTCTTAGCGGCTCACTGAATCAGCCCTTAGTGTATGTAGACATAAGGGGTAACACTTGTCCTTGATGCTACTCCACTGAAGTTCTCCCCATAACATAGGGTAATATAGCATTGCTATTATTCCCTATTTCTCCATATAAGAAACATATTACAGAATAGTTAGGATGGAAAATCAGGAGGAAAGAAATATTTTGACCAAAAATCAAACTTGAATCCTTATATCTACTGTGTAAAATCCTACAACACAAAATACAGATATGTCAGCTGTTATATTTAGTAATAACTGCTTCCTTGTAACTTGGTAGAAAGAAAGAAAGAAAGAAAGAAAGAAAGAAAGAAAGAAAGAAAGAACTGGAAAAACTCCCATTTACTTCAACGGACTTTAAATGAGACTCAAATAAATAACAGTCTTTAAGAAGTTACTTTTTTCCTTTTATATCACACCACTCTAGCATGTTCTATTAGCTGTCAACATATTTTCCAGGTTGCAGACACAATCATTAAGGTTAAAGGTCTAGAGAACAATAAAGGAATGTTACCCGTGCACCTGCCAGGCTTTTATTCTAACCTGGAAATGAATATATTTTATCCCAAGAAATTCAGCATATTAAACACAAGTAGTCTAAGGTGAGTTACCAACATGAAGCTTATCAAAAATAACTAATAAAATCAATATGCTCCTATTTCTGAATATTGTTTTCTGAAATTAAGGGAAGCAAAATGTTTCACCTATGTGGAATTTTAACACAGCGTTTATTGTCCCAAAACATAAAAAAGAAGAAGAAAAGATTTATTTGAATAGTGATTTAATATATCTGTCTATATTATGTCTTGTGAATAATGGGAATGCAATCATAAGGTAAATCATAAATGATAAAACATTTAAAGTGTCAATTAAGGAGAAAACTGAATGTATGAGTAGTTTGCTTACCTGTTTAACATCATATGCAAGAAGAACAAATCTTAAATCTGGTGAAACTGAGTATCTTGATGCTTTGAAAGTTACCTAAAAACAGGTAATAATATGGGTAATTAACACATGTAAGGTCATTTTTTTCCCAAAGATTCTGACATTCACTTAAGACCTTTACAACTGCAAGATAGTTCCTATTACAAACAACTGAATTATTTGTGCATCATAGACTCATAGACTCTAAGGTCAGAAGGGACCATTATGATCATCTAGTCTGACCTCCCGCATGATGCGGGCCACAAAAGCTGACCCACCCACTCCTGGAAGAATTCTCTCCCTTGACTCAGCTGTTGAAGTCCCCAAATCATGATTTAAAGACTTCAAATCGCTGAGAATCCTCCAGCAAGCGACCCCTGCCCCATGCTGCGGAGGAAGGCGAAAAACCTCCAGGGCCTCTGCCAATCTACCCTGGAGGAAAATTCCTTCCCGACCCCAAATATGGCGATCAGCTGAACCCCAAGCATACGGGCAAAATTCTCTAGCCAGACCCTCTGGAAAAAGTTCTCTGTAGTAACTTTTAATATCCCATCATTGACCATTGTTGCTAATTAACAGCGATGGCACGTTATTGACCTAATGACTAAAATCACTTTATCCCATCAAACCATCCCCTTCATAAACCTATCAAGCTTAATCTTAAAGCCAGAGAGGTTTTTCGCCCCCACTGTTTCCCTCGGAAGGCTGTTCCAAAATTTCACCCCTCTGATGGTTAGAAACCTTCGTCTAATTTCAAGCCTAAACTTCCCCATGACCAGTTTATATCCATTCGTTCTCGTGTTCACATTAGTACCGCGATGAAATAATTCCCCCCCTTCCCTGGTATTCATCCCTCTG